TCCGACGCGTATCGTACTCGGGGGAGAGCCCACAGGGATAGTGCACCAGATCGTCTCCAAACCTTGGCGAGTACCTCTGAGTCGCTAGTCCCACTCATAAGCCGTGAACCCCATCTCTCCTCCAACAACAATCCATACCCTCTCTCTCAGGTCGCGCCGCAGTCGTTCTTCACGTCTCGCAGGAGTTCTGAATCCTACCGAGACTACCATTCAGTGGAGAGCTCGTCTTACTTTTCGAGACCAATCTCATCGAGAAGTGCCCATTCGGATCCGCAAATTCCTGCTTACACATTCCCTCCTCCTCTTCCTCCCCACCACCTCTCATACTCACCTCACCAGTCCTTTTCCGCTATCCCTAGCTCTTCGCCTTCTCGTAATCCTCCTTCTCCCGTCGCGGTACGGCGGCCAAGCCGCTCTCTGTCCGACGTCTATCCCCTCATGTCGCAGGCTACATCTTATGGCGAATCCGGGCTGAACTCACGAGCGGGTCAATCACCTGTCCCATCCCAAAGCCCCCTGGTTACCTCTGCGTCTGGGTCTCCTATGTTGTTGAGGGAACAGCCTTACACTGCTCCTGCTTCCCATGTTCGCTCGGTGTCTCACTCCCACCCTGATTCTCCACCTTCTGCGCCTCCACGCACCTCTTCAGCGGCTGAACTTCCAAGTTTGCTCAATACAGAATCAACGGGGTCCCCTGTCATCCCATTCACCTCGCATGGAAGTCCTGGAGGTCTTGGGGCGTTGGAGGCGTTGGTACAGGTCGCAACAGAGGAGAGGCGTCGTTTGAGCGGTGAGGTCTCAACACCTTATGAGAGAAAAGAGTCGGCTCGGAAGGCATCGTTGAGCCCAGTCCTCAACCGTGTTCCACCTCCTCTGCCCCCATCCTCCCTTCCTTCATCGTCTGTACCTCCATCGTCGCAGTCTCCCGTTCATCAGAGGTATCCACCGCTCCCTTCGCCCAGATTGGACGCGCGTGTCAGTTCACTCGCCTTCATCTCTCTGGGACAGTCACATTCTCAAGATGGCGAACCACCAAGCAAGAAGCGAAGGCGCACTGAGAGTGCCGCTTCTGGGGCCTCATCTGCACTGTCCATGCCAGCTCCCAAAGCAGCAGCTCCGCCCTCACCATCTGCCTCCGCGACGACTAGACCACGTAGTATCTCGCAGCTCCTGGCCGCCGAGCCTCTGTCCGGAGACCACCACAGTCATCCCGACGCGCCGTTATCGGAACAACCGCTACCAGCCATCGCAGCCTCTGCTGTTGAAGGAGGCCCACATGGTACGCACCACTCCCCTCCAGACACGGTCACCACTGCAAAGGAGACGGAGAAGCCTAGTTTCGGTGGAAGCGGCCTGACAGTCGTCTCTGCCCCCAACTTAGCTAGGCTGGAGGGCGATATAGTCAAGACGGAGGAGGAACCCAGTATAGCGTTGACGGCATCCGTACCAGGGGACCGTATGTCGGAATCTTCGAGCAACTCGCAGTCGTCAGTGAAGGTGCAGGATCAACGGGACGACCCAGAACAAGACGCTCACGAGTGGTTGCTGGAGCATTACGCTACAGAGCCACCCGCAAATGTGTCGATACGTCCCTCGCCAGCGCCGGAGGATCCTCCGGACTCTCCGAACACGACGGCGTCGGCTACGCCTTCTTCTGCCAAGCGCGAGGAAGTGCACGATGCTGACGTTTTGCCCCCCGAGCCATCTAGCAAGTCCAAGCAGCCCAAGGTGCCGTCACGGACACCCACGCCGCTAGCCTTGCTAGAAGAGGAGCTCGACCGTGCCACGCCAGGAGAAGGCGGTTTGCCTAGTATTGCTGTCTCCCCTGGCTCGGATGCCGACCTTGCGTTGGAACTTGACCTAGCTGCGGGTGCGTCAGAGCACCCGGCGGCCCCTGGGACAGACACGTCGACTAACAATGACCTCGACGACGAGTTGCTGAGCCTACTGGATGACAAGCCTCGACACTCGCACTCGCATTCTTATCCGCACTCCAGCAAAGCTTCACATGCAGCCTCTGGGTCCACTAATGCGGACAAGACTTCTGTGGTGAAGGACATCTCCATTAAGAAGACTTCTGCCACTCCCGCCCCTCGCCTTGCTCCTACCACCTGTGCGCCTTCGGAACGTGTGGTTATGCCACCACCTGTTGCCCCTCCTAATCAAGCCACCAAGAGTACTGCTGGTGATCAACAATCTGCTGCCAGACAGGACAAGTCCGAGGCTCTAAGCGCATCGTCGAACATGAAAAAGAAGGAGGCGTCTGCCAAGGTATGTACTATTGCAAAGAAGTCATTGATACTGCCAGCTAACCACGTCCTGGAGGCACAGAAAAGTAAGCAGCCTGTCAAGCCGAAGCCGAAGGCTACTACTGCGAAGTTGTCAAAAGCGAAGACAGCGAAAGACGACACTCTTGGGTGTAGTGGCCGCCTCACTCCTTCTGGCAGCGGAACGGCGGCCAAAGGGAAAAGGGCGGGGGTGTCTGCTTCTGCAGGGGCAGCTGCAGCCGCTAAGCGGTCGGTTTCCGCTGCTGTTGGCCAGTCTCGATCGCGATCCGCCTCAGTGATGCCCGCTCTGCCGGATCCGCACAACAGTAAACAACAGGCAGAAGAAGAGGAGGAAGAGGAGGAAGAGGCTATAGACGACAAGCTCTATTGCATATGCAAGACGAGCTATGACGAGGACCGTGTCATGATTGCTTGCGATCGGTATGTTTGCTTACAACCCCCTTTGCTACCGAGTGTCCTGACATAGACATCAGATGCGACGAGTGGTACCACACTCAGTGCTTGAACATGAACGACCTCGAGGTTGACTTGATCGACCAGTTCGTTTGCCCACCATGTATCAAAGGTACGCACATATCCAGCGCCGCTTTGGACTGTCGTAACCGAGTGTTTCCAGCCAACCCCCACTTGCCCCTGAAGACGACCTACAAGCAACGGTGTTACGCAGGCCTGAAGCACCCAAGACCGTCCTCGGCTGCCGCTTGCCATAAACCTGCACGCGGTGCCTTCTCGAAGTACTGCTCCGATGAGTGCGGTATCGCCTATATGCAGCGCCGTATCGACGGTTGGGGTGGCGATCAAGAGGTGCTCTGGGCGAGCGTCAGGGAAGTGAAGCAACGCGAAGGCGTCGTCGTCAAAGTTCACGTCATCGAGGAAGAGCCTGGTGGTGCACCCGGGTCCGAACAGAAGCCTGCAGGTGCAGGCGGGCTTAGCCAGTTGGTCATGGAGACACATGAAGTCCAAAAGCCTACGAAGACCCAGTACGAGCGCACCGTCACTCGATTACAGGCGGAGTTGTATAAGATTGCTCCGAAGCGTGAGGTTCTCAAGAGAGAGCTCGAGATCATCCTCTGGCGGCGGAAGCTACTCGAACTCGCAGCAGAGCGTGCGGAGCGGCTGGGAGAGTGCGGGTGGGACCAACGCCTTTGTCTCGATGACGACGAGTATGCGGAGTACGCTGCAGGCATCCTGGAGAGCTACGACGAGGGCAACGGACAGGCGAATGGCGAGCAAAGCGCTATGCAGGTCGACGGGTCCGGAGTGGAAGATGGTGCCTGGTGGTGCAGAGGCAAGAAGAAGTGTCAGCGCCATGCTGGGTATGGCGGTTCCCTACAACCGGTTCGGAGCAGTCATTGACGAGTTTCGTGCAGGTGGCAGAAGCTTCGTGCGTCGGAGTTCGAGTTTGACCAAGAACTGAAGGAGAAGGCCATGTCAGCTCTGACGACGCAGGAACGCGAGATCCGCAAGCAGCTTGAGGACGCCATCAGTCTTCATAATCAGAAGACGGCAATCAATATGCAAAGCTCACCGCTACGGCCATTGAATGGTCACGCGCAAGCCAATGGTGCTGTCAAAGCCAAGCCCAATGGTACAGGGAAGAAGGGCAAGCAGAAGAGATGAGTTTTAATGCATTCAAATGTTGTTCACCAGATGATGCGGAGGACTGGTTTCGCGACTCTTGCCACAGTTGTCCGGTTGTTGGAACAGGATATCGTGTCTTCTGTATGTATTGAATCTACTGGACTTGCAAGCGCGACGCGAGCAGTGAGCGCGACGACAATGGCATAAATACAACAATCAGGATGACCGTCTGGCGTAATGAATCTGCCTATGGTGGGGTGCATCCACGGAAATGACTAAGAGATGAAGAGGTCGAGTCTGTGATCAGCTCGGGAAAGGTGGACTCAGTAACCGTCACCCTCCCCGCCCTCCTTGCAGAATCCCTTCTGTTCATATAGGATCTGGGACTTGATATCTTCTCGTCGCTTCCTGTCCGCTATGTCTTGCTTATGATATGGCTCTAGAACGCTCCACTCTACTTGGCGCAGTGGTACCTCGTCTTCCTGGTCGAGATCCTGTTCTCCGCAAGCCTCAGTAACGCCCCCGAGGAACTGCTTCCGTTCACTGACGATCTCCCCAAGCAACACGACGTTCTCGCCGCGAATCAGATACAGGCCTCGCCACATCTCCGCGAAGACATCTTGATGGTATATCCGTTCCACAGTGTCCTCCAGCACGAGATTAGCTGGCAGAGACGTGACGCGGTCAGATACCACGATGGATGCGCCGGCTGCGGCGGATATAGTACTCATCAACACTCACCAAACTGATCATAAGACCGGAGGACCCCTTGGAGTTTTCGACCATCTCGCAAGACCACAAGCATCTTCCCTAACCAAAGCCAAGCGAAGGGCGACCACGGCAGGAAGTGGTAGAGAATATGGGCTCAGGTTGCTCCATCACTTGACTTGGTCAAACGTACTATCAACGCAATCCACGAGCGATCCCGAGGTTGTGAAAGGGATCAGGGAGTCCATTGCATTGAGGAAGAACCTGCGAGGATACGATTATGGTGGAACGTCGGGGGCGACTCCGAGGTCGATATACAAGCGAGCAACGACGTGGAGGGCAAAGGACAAGAAGCAAAGCGGGGACCAAGAGCTCGGGAAGGTAGATTAACGACCAAGTTAACAACCTCGTCTAGGTAGGCGAGCTGATATGGCCGAGTCGTTAAGGCGAGTGATTTGAATTCATTTCAATATCACTTGGGCATTGCCCGCGTAGGTTCAAATCCTGCTGTCAGCGATTCTTTTGCTCCTATTGGAGTGACAGGCTATGCCTGTGGCACTCGTCAATTGCTCAAGAGCAACAGATAGTGAACAGCTTTGCCTTTCGTCAAGATAGGCTCATAGCGACATGTCTCACCATTCAAGACGAGATTTGATTATGTTTAGTACGGAGTATAATTACTAAGAAGCGGTTCTCCAGGCCCTTCGGGTTGCCTGAGGCGCAGAGTGTACGAATCATATGCGAACGGCAGTAGCACCTCAAGCTGCATGATCTCACCCTCTGGTCACCCATAGCATGCCGGCCATAGGGGAGATTGACTTGCGCTAGACTGACTGCAGCCTTCCCGGCCGCTCCGAGTTGTCCTCCCCGCGATGAAGATGCCATCCGCGGCGTGACATTCAGTGTTTCTCGCAACCGGGGGCGTTCAAGAGAACAACGAGCTATGCGTATCATTACGCCCACTACGATGATGTCGATGCCGTCGCCTCCTTCCCAAAGTACTGCCATTGTCCGGGCTGCGGCTTCTCCTCCAAAGGCTCCCATCTACGCCGCAGGTTACACACCAACATCGACGCATGATGATGAGGCACACTCACGCCTTCCACTCCAGCATCTTCTTGGCCAGGCTGAGCTCGTCCAGAGCAATGTCTAGCGACTCTTCGATCTGTCCCTCGTCAAGCTCCTTTTCGATAGCAGCGACGTCCCCGTTCGCCTTCTCTAACACCTTGAGTTTGTGCAATGTGAGTGCCTCGGTGCCCTGGCGGTAAACGGATGATTGCGGGATGGCGGAAAGGGCCTGGAGCGTGTCCTCGTAGGTCTTCTTCAACTCCGGGACAGGATCGCGGTGAACTTTGAGGCCAGTAATGCCCGTAGAGGGCTTCCGCGCCGCGTAAAGGAGAGGACGCGTGAAACGGAGCATGGCGGACGGTGGTGACTGCAACGAACAAACGCCCATCTCACCCGCAAACCCGAAAGATTAAGAAGCGCCCGTTGTTCGCAAGCGCGATACCGTGTCTTTGCACTCAACGACCATGGCCGCGGCACTCGCTCTATATCCAACTCGCTCATGGCTCGCTGCCCTCAGGGCCCCTGTTGCTCACATTGCTTTTGCAGCCTCCTTTGTTCCCAGCTTTCTGGCTGCGCCAAGGCCGTTCTCCTGGGCCATCCCTTCATTACCCTCTCTGCTCGAGCTGATGCCCCCATGGCTGCTCGCCGTGCCCAAAAAGAAGACATCACATTCTCGCAAGGCAATGCGCAGTGCGAATAAGGGCTTGAAAGACAAGCAAAGTACACATTCGCTACTTCTCCCCGTCTACCGAAACGACTGACAAGTGTTTGAAGATTTGGTCCACTGTGAGAGCTGCGGCTCACCAAAGCTGGCGCATAACTTGTGCCCGAAATGCTACCGGGAACTCAACATTGGTTGGAAGGCGAAGAACCGGTCTGCGTGATTGAAACCCCTATGTCATGCTCTAGAGGGATGGATTGATGTACAGCGTACGTTCTGGACTGGGGCCACTAAGTTCGCAGTACGCTGATGAAGCGCATGCAGTTATATACGCTCCATATAATTGACGACTCCTTCCACCACGGTTCCCAACAGGTCACCTGTAGATATCACGTCGTAGAAATACGGTCTGTGACGGAGCACCGCTCCGTTGTGGTCAGACGTTGGAGCGCTACGCTAGGCCCCTACCAGAACATGCAGGTGCTGTTTGATGGGAGGAAAGTGCCTTTGGGGTCGTAACATCTCGTATGTGCCGAAGTGCACTTTACCCCGTTGACTTGCACATGCACGCAGAGCGTATCATAACCTCCGCCGCTGCCAATCGGCGTTAAGAATTCGCGCAGACTGAGTCGAGTAGCTACAACAGGTTAACACTCAGCTATCTGCAGCGGTAAGCATCCTTGTCAGACGGGGGCTACGACATAACTTCTGGGCTTACAAGGCGACGATGGGGAATATGAAGCAGTTCGAGCAAATTACCGAACTTGTCGCGAACAAATCCTAGCCGCTTTCAGGTTGTCCATCGTGATTATCGGCTGCTCTAGCGGACTGGTGAACATATGTCGCTTGAATGTGCCTGACGAACGACATGTGGTTTCTACCTGTCAAGGAAGACTTGCGCCCATTGCTGAGGATTCATGAAAGTTGGTATGACAAATGCACTCCGAAATACTAAGCGACGCTCCGGTCCAGGTGGTAGGGCAGACACTGGGAACGTTGCTGCATTTCACCTATGCTCGAGCGAGGAAGAAAAGGACAAGAACAGCACCCAGCAAGAAAAAGTGACAAATGTGGAGGTCGGAGGGACACCACAGAGAGCCTCAACATACTCCCGTGAGCCCCAGCATGCCGAAATTGCGGCATGAGATGTAGCTGGTTTGCCTAGCCACATGTAAGCACTCAAGGGATGATACGCAAGCCCGTTCGAGGATGGATGCAATTATACAAGGAATGTGCACAATAGCACAGAAGACGGACTCGGTTATCTAAAGAAACACCTTGGCGGGCTTGTCCGTCGCGGTCCATTCGTGAATAGCTACTACAACATCCAATGCATGAACGGACCGCGCTGGCTCTGTTCTACGTATCTTCGATCCACAGCCTTCCCCCAAATTGATCAAGTCATCTATTCCAACAAAAGCCAGACGTTCGCTCTGCGTAATGATGATCGGACCGAGGTCGCGATATATCCACTAGTACAATCTGTCAGCCACACCCGAAAGCGAGATCTGTCAGAGAGCTGCAAGAGCAGCAAGCACATAGGTTCCTTTCTGAGCCCGTAAAATGCTGAAAGTGAAAGAGCGGCCATGATGGCAGGAGGTAGGGCGCAAGTGGCACTCAAGACCGTATGTACATGCATTGTGGCCATCGCCACGGCGTCGAGATCACGTGATCGACGCGCAGGTGAACCACCAAATTGCGGTTGAAGCCATCGACGCGACGCTCAAGACCGCACCCTCTTCCCTTGTTCCTTGCATAGACTTCGTTACTCAAGATACCCCCACAATGGACGGATCAAGACCTGGAGAGGCTGGCGTGCTCGCATGGTGCAACTCTATACGCTTCAACATGGCCAAGGATCCCGGTCGCCAGATCCTCCATGACCAGATTCAGAGACAAGGCTTCGATTTTCTAGACAGTTACTTGGAGAACTTTTTTGAAGGACCTAAGAACGAGTCAGTAGTTACGCGTTTTACTGCCAGCTCGTGCTCTGAACGTGATGCCAAAGGCCTGTCATCGAACTACTCAAGACACCTGGTCGCAAGAAGAACGCGTCTGTCAGGACGCGTTCCGCTGCTGCTGCTGCTGAGAAGGCCCGGACTGTCGTGTCGTTGACTTTTGAGGTGAGTTAATGCAAGATGCGCATGATGATCTCGCTCTCCGTCGTTAACGCGTGTTGCATCCCGCGCAGGATGATCATCTGCTGCAGAACCAAGAGCCCATGAATGAATTCCAGAGAGCTCTCCTTCGGGCCAAAGAGAAGGCTGATGAAGAAAACGCTCATCAACCTCTTTCGCAGCATGCCTCTGCGGAACGTGCCCTGAAACCGCAGCCGTTCTTCACTAAGCTAAAGAGTCAGAAGGTTGTCACGATCGCAGACAGCCCCATCTCTCCTGGAGCTAATCGCGATGATAAGCACTTGGATCTTGAAGAAGACCAGTTGCCATTACCTGCGGTTGTTCTTGACGGTGAGCCCCCTTCGACAAAGGCTACCATTCCACCGGAACCCGAACAAATCTCGCATGAGAGCCAAGGGTCTATCAAAGAGCTGTCGATGATCGCTGAGGATGACGAACCAGCCGAAGGCAGCAGGGTAACTCTGAATGTGCTATCACAGCGTAACTCGGAAGCGACACAAATCCAAGCACAGCAGGCAACGACCAGCGATGCCCAGGAAGTCCCTAGTGGTGATCTGCAGGAACTGCTCGACGCCCGACCCATGGATGTGGAAGTGTCTCTTCAAGGGCCCAGCAATTCAGCACCGGAATCCCATGAACCTGTTCCGGACGATCTGACCTCAGCGTCCGCTAACACTTTCCATTCGATTCCCTTGGATAGTCCTCGCGTAACGGCGGCGGAGCCCCAAAGTACTCGCACAGACGACTATCATACCGCTCCCCTTCCGAAGGTCTCATCACCGCCTGTACCGGTAGAAAACGATGACCCGCACTCTCATACTGCCCCCCTCCCCGCGTCCTCTTCTCGGCATCAGGAATATATCATGCCTCTCCGAGACGAGCCCTCTGCCCCTGTCCCCGGTTTATCTCGCAAAGCTAGCATTCCACAGTTCGCCGGATTACCCGCGCCCTCCCCTCTTCGGAAGTCATTGCGAGTTCCAGGGGATCCTACCGCAGCGAGTGGCGGTGCTGGTGCGCTTCCGGGAGGGAAGAGGACTTCGTGGCTTTCTAAAGCTCGGGAGACAAAGGCATTGGAGACGACAGCGAAGCGTGTCACTACGCTGACTCACGGTCTGGGACTTGCTGTCTTAGGCAACAACAAGCGAAAGAGCGGGGAGATGCTGGAATCGGCGAGAGATGCACCAACAGCTCCTACCGCATCCCTCAAGCCTGTCGACGAAGAGCAGAGAGTTGCTAAGCTGCCAAAGCTTGCTGCATCACCTGCCGACACCATGTCCGACGGCAAAGGCAAAGGCAGCGCATCCTCGCCTGATCCTGTACGTTACCCCTACCATGCGCAAGCTCTACATAGCGGCTTAACCAAAATTCAGGGAGACGAGTTGCGTGCAAAGTCGTCTGTAGCGACGACTCACGCGCCAACCGGTGCAACTAGCGAAGCAGCGGATCAGGATCAGGACAATGTGCTCGGCCTTCTCAAGAAGACCACTGCGGATCTGGGCACCAGGATAGTTAAGGGCGCTGGCAAGTCGCTCGGGGGCAATGCCGCAGCCGCCCTTGCAGAGGCTCGTGCCAAGGCAGAGGCTCGCGTTGCTGAGCGGCACAAGCTGGAGATGGGCCTCGTGACGGATTCTGAAGACGTCTCTATGACT